CTGAAAATGGTTAATGATAGAACTCTTATCAGATAAGATATGAGGCCATTAAATTGGGTTAATGATGCTTCCTTGTAAAGGGTTACAATCAACAAGATTAACTATCGTAAGGCTGGTAAATTGTTACTGTGAAAAAGAGATGGTTGCACAACAAATTCTAATTGGTCTTAAAATCTAAAGGTAAGTTTCCTAAAGGTCGGTGGTCTTGGTTTTAAGTGGTCTTTTGAGTAAGGCAAAAGGAATGAAACAAGTAAAGGTAGCTTTGGTTTGAAAGTCTGTAGTCTGTTTTGTTGAACGATTAGAGCATTTCCAAACGAGATGTCAAAATCCTAGGTGGAATGCCACTGTGCATATTTGACATCAAAGGTCTCTCCAACTGAAGTGCTATTTGCTGGATTTGAAGGCTTGTTGATTTGGAGTAAAATTTGACATTAATGTCTAATTTATTTTTAATTAATTTTAATGTTGGGTCCCTTATTCCACTTTTAACCAATAAAAATTTTGTTTCTGTTGCAGTCCTGTTAGATTAGGAATGTGATTGTGTAAATCCTAAATCCTAACATATATAGGATATCCTTATGGGATTCTACCATATCTCTTAGACTAGATATTATCCTATTAGAGTTGTAATCCTATTAGGGTACGGAATTAATCTTCCCTACTACTATAAATAAAGGCACAATGGGGTGGAATAAAACACACCTGACAATTACACATCTCTCTCTTCTCTCTCTATGTGCCACACCTCTTCTCTCTCTAGCCTCCATAATTGTTTAATAAATTATGCTTATAACACGTTATTAGCACGCTCTTGATGCTATGCTAAAGGGAGTTTGATCTTCAATCGGGGGAGTATTACGTTTTAATCATTCTTTTTATGATTAATTTATTATTTTATTGAATTGATCTAGACGCTATTGATTCAATTTAATTTTTCTGTGTTAAGCGTGATACAACGCATCGGAGATGCAATTCCGGCTTTCCGAGAGTGATCTTCTACAAATTCAAAGGCTTTTATAGTTTTCTACCAATCAGGTACGCTTAAAATAATGTAAGATATTTGAATGACCATGAAGTATGAAAACATTCTCCATGATGCATGAACCCCCTATATTTATATTTTCCTTCTGATATATATATATATATATATATATTGTATATGTTTCATATATTTGTCAATAAATATATACGTTTCATGCATTACGGAATTTTTGCTATGTGGAATTTGTGAGTCAAAGCATTGAAATAAATTAATAACAATTAGGGTTTTTCAAACCCTAGAGTTGAAAAAAAAATAAAAAATATTGGGATTTTTTTTTCCGGCTCCACGCCGCGTCACCACCACACATTGAGCCACGTTGGTTGGCCTACAGCCTAGCCCGTTGAGCAGCTGTGACTAGACAACATCGTTTTGACGTCTGGACCGACATTAGCAACCATTTGGGCTTGCTACGCATATACCGACAATCAGACCCTTTGGCCTAGGTAAGGTTTCCACGAGCCTGAAGCCTCTAGCCCATTCCATCAGGCATGCAGCCTTGCTGGGCTTGTACTTGTACCCTGGCCCACTTCCAGTGAGCTTGATGTTTCCTGGGCCTTGTCCATACACATGGCCTGCCTATAATAGCCTATGTGTTGCTGGGCTAGCCCTTGAGTCTCAACCCGGTTGCCAATAGCCTCTGAGCTACTAGGCTTCGTCTCGCACCAGCCCAAGCCAGCGCAACTGGGCTTGCTTCCATGTGCTTGTTTTTGGCCTAACTCCAGCAGCTTTGAGCTACTGGGCTTATCCCAACCCACGGCCCAATGGCCTGTAGCCTTCCCATGGCCCCTGAAAGCCTACAGCCTTATTGTAGAGCCTTGCCCATTCATTACAACCAACCTAATTAAGCTGGGCTACGATGTTTTTTTTTTATCCAATGCTAATTTTTGGCATTCCCGCTTCATAACCATACCCATTTAATTTTTGGGATGTTTTGGTTAACACTAATAAACCTATAATTCACTTGTCACTTGGCCCACTGCCAATTGAAGCTAATAAGAACAGTATGTCATTATTTTGCTTCCACGATCGACCCTGTATGATCCCAATTTATTGAATTAATTAAAAGTGACCAGTAGTCCATTAATCTGACAAGAAATTCAAAATTATTGACCTGAAGACCGCTTTTGGAAATTAACGATTCAATAATTTATTTTTCTTCTTTGAACCGTTGACATCCTTTCGTAGTCCCGAAGTGCTCATCCTTAAGTTCCCGAAGCGCTCATCCTTAAGTTCCCGAAGCAACTCAAATCCAATGCATTTAAATCAGTACCTTGTATTCTATGTTCTTACAGGAACCTCTCTTTTTATGAACTAAACGTTCATAAACTAAATTGAACCTGTAGTTTCAAATTTAGTGCCTTTGAACCTGAAGTTTTCATAAAAACAATACACCCATGAAAACTCGAATCTTTCATACATACCATGTCTTAAAACTTGAATGTTCTAACTTTGATGCTTATGGATATTTTATTTCCTATAACATTATTCACAATCTTGTTCCATCCATTCAGTGGATTGTCGAACCGTCACAAGTTTGATCTCACTGATTTGGAAGTTTCTAATAGAAACCACTTTTTGTGGGTACAAGATGTGAATCTCCACTTGACTATCAAGAAGCTGAGAAACCATCGTAGCCAACAATGGCATAGAAGAGCTGAATAAGCCTACGCCATGATCTTTATTCGAAGACTTATGCCTAAAGCATTACCCACGGAAGTACCTCCCGAACGAGGACTCCATGGCTTTTTGGCTCGCTCCTATGGACCGTCTAATCATGATAGACATCACCTGAAGCATACAATTATTACGTCCATGAATGAGTACGATTCTAAAGTTTATAAATCCGATAGAATTTCGACTCGAGAATACATTTTCTTGTCCTTCCATGTTTCTATCTCGCTCTTGAGGCAGTAGTGTAGAAAGCAGAAGTTTACCAAATTGGACTCGTCCCCATGGGCAGCCGTTGAAGAGTCCCCTAACTATGATTGGCACCTTCGCGAATAGGAGTGATGGTTGATCTACCAGGGCAGTCATCTTGGCCTTCGTTTTCAGAGTCAGATGCTTGACAATAGGCGTGCTCGGTATCTACATATATTTTGGGGGTCTCAGAAATGCGAAGTAAACTACTTGCAAAGTTAGACCCTAATTGCTAAGGAAAGTCAACGCTATAAATCTACCTAGCCTACTAAGTCATAAAGAATGCCCTACTCCACTCTACCAACTAGACTAGCCAAATTTGGTCTTTGCCGGTGTTGTTTGACATTAATGGTAACCCACAACATAAAAGTCAGAGTAATATCGAAACTACTGTGAAATGTACCAAAGGAAAACAAAAGAAAAGATACTAGCACAATAAGCCAACTTGAGAGACACGAGATTGGTAAAACTTAAGTCTCTAGAGATGGTCATGAGTTATACAGCCCCGAGCACTTGATCTTAGTCGTTGATAAAGAGCGCCAAAACGACCATATCGTGACACGTGGCAGCTCACTTGCTCAATCTCTGATGTAGAGGGATGTGAAACCACTTCACGGGCCACGAGGTTACACCTGCCTGTTACACCTTCAATAGGGAGGCCCCTCGATTCCACCACCAACCTACAACGAACATATGCTTAACAAGTACATGTTCCTGACAACACTAGCTCCTGGCTCAAGAGTCTGGTAACTGATGAGATTTTGAGTCGAGCGCTTAAAAAAGCATGAGTCGATCGCCAAAGGCACACCATTATGGGCATGCAACACAACACCTAAGTGCCACCCCTAAGTGTCGACCAACCCCTGCAACTTCATACCCAAGAAAGAACCCTTGGATAAGGAGTTGGCGGACTTGTTAACGTAGAGTCATTTCCGACCGTGATAGGTGCAAAGAAAAATCAAGGTCTAATGAACGTGGAAAGTTGAAGCTAAGTGCTTTAAGAAGTCCTGGCCTCTAGTGTTTAATCAGCAATCAATCCAAGCACTAGATGGCAAAATGGCCATTGACAACTTTAAGGCACAAGGTCCTAGGAGCAGAAAGAGCATGCCTACTCAAATGTCAACTATGAGCCATGTGGCAGCTAGACGAAAGAATAGAGGCCTACGAAGGGACATAAAGGCTGACAAGTAGAACGCTCAAGTATGAGTCCCGACCAACTCTAGGGCCAAGCGAGGTGGTTTGCTGTGCCATCCCAAAAGAGGACACAAGTTGACTTGAGCAAGTGTCACCTCGATGCTATGTGTTAGCCAAAGAACGGAAGGACAACTAGCAAGTCTAATCTATACATTCAGCCCATTAAATAGAAAAGAAGTGATAGACTTGAGCCCATAGGCTGAAGACTCAGAGAATGGCCTATATAAGGCGGATGAGTACTCTTTAGAGGGGGTCGAACGAATTGACTTGTACTATGCTGGGCGACCGCTACTTGTAATCTAGTTGGTCATTTATCTAAGAGACTTAATGGATGTAGTCTAGTTTTGAGGGGTGAACCACTTAAATCCTTTGTCTTTTCTGTATTGTTTGCAAAACCCAAGTCCATCAAAGGCAACACTTGATCAATTCTACCTTTATTGGCTTCACCAATTTTGAGCGTTAACACATTCCATACATATTTATAATAATAGTTGGTTTCTTTTTCTACATGTTCTTTTGAAACTTTTATTTTTTACCACCAACTGTACACAGTTATGCATTTGTCTTTCATTTCTACGATGAGTTAAATAGTGTGATGTAGCAAAATTTCGTAGTACTCGTTGTATGGAAGAATTGCTCTTGTTGCATTGATTGCAGCTGAGAGGTTTTCCTTTCAATCAATGGAGCTCCAAGGCTGTCTCTAGAAAATGAACCAGTTACTTACTATTACTCAAACCGGAAGAATATATGGACCAACAATACATCAAGATAACATATAAATATAAAGTAATACAGTACAGCTCTATACTTCCCAGTTTCGTTCTGTAGGCCAAGAGTAGTACAGATATAGAAGACAAACTACTGTTTATATATAGATGGTAATAAACTGGTCGTCTAGGCTACTATAGCTAGCAGCCTAGCCACTGCATACACTCATTTAGTTCCCTTTGTACCATTATACCATATATCTAGTACCTAATAATATTTTGCCTCACTTACAGTATGATAAAGTGACCCAGTGATAGGAAGAACCATGACAATATGAACCACAAATTAACCCATTTTCCTTTTGAACTATTAAACCATATATATACATCAAATTTGTGACTTCTGCTCATGAATTCAACCTTATGGGTTAGTCGAATAAGTTAGCATTTATTCTACCCACAAGTGCCAACCACTTCTAATGTTCCCCAGCAGCTGAAAGGCAAACTATATATAGAGACCTATAGTACGTATTTATGCATGCATGAAACCACCAAAATGTTTCTCTGCTCATCAGCCTTCCCTTTCTTCAATTCGAACCGGCAGGCCACCCCTCACGGTGGCAGTGAGGCCCGGGACAAACTGCGGTCTCCTTTCAGGTTCCAGAATCTGAATATCAAACCTCCCCACAAGTGCGACAGCGACGCATTGCATTTCCATCACCGCCAATTCCTTCCCCAAACAAACCCTCTCCCCGCCTTGAAAAATCGGGTACTTGTACGGACTCTCGGGCGAAAAAAGCCCCTTCTTCAACCACCTATCGGGCTTGAAATCGAGACAATCCGAACCCCAAATGCTCTCCATCCGGCCCATTGCGTATTGATGGTACGTAACTCTAGTCCCACTCCGTACAAAAGTACCATCGGGTAGCACATCATCCTCCTGACAGAACTTGGAATCGAATTGTATCGGCGGGTACAACCTCATTGTCTCATAAAGCACCGCATGCAAGTAGTGCATTTCCCGCATTTGATCAAAACTCGCAGTCGCAAGTCCTTCTCTAGTCGGACCCATGACCTGATCCAATTCCTTCCGGATCTCCCGCTTCACTTCCGGGTGTCTTGCGAGTAAATAAAACAAGCTGGTCAACCCGGAAGAGATGGTGTCACGGCCCGCCAACAGAAAGTTCACGACAATGTCTCTGAGGTACTGATCGTCTTCAATGTTGGCCATGAATCGAGAGAGAAGGTCCTTCTGCGTCGAAAAAGTACCCATTTCACGACGTTGTTTGATGATGCTCTTGGCCAAGTTGTCCACCATTTTAACGGCTTCCTTCAGCTGCCTCTCCGATCCAAGGTTGAAAAATCTCTTTATCTTCCACACGATAGGCGACGACGTCATTGCCCGCTCCGCAGAGAGCTTTGACGCCAAGTCAAAGGCCACCGCAAAGTCAGATATCGGAAGGGATAGCTGGAGACAGCCAGGGTCCAATCCGAAAGAGAATTTGCAGATGTTGTCAAAGGAAAAGCGTCGAAACAGGTCCTGTATGTCAACGACGCCATTTTCGCCTTCGTTACCTGCAACCGAGGCTAATAACGGAATCAGTCTGGATTGGATTTCGGCGCTCACGATTTCTAGCGCGTAGGAGCGGACCGAGACACTGCCGAGCTCTAAACTCGCCATCTTACGCTGGAACTGCCACCCGTCGCCATCGACGTTAAAGATTCCGAGGCCTAAAAGGTCGCCAAGAATGGTCGTGAAGAGTTTACCTTTCGGGTAGTTGTGGAAGTTGGTTTTGATGATATGCTCGACGTTTTCTGGGTTGGCGGTGATTATATTGCCGAGGACGTGGACGTGGATGGTTCCGGAGGGCGACTTTTTGAGAAGGTGAGTGTACCAGTCACATAGATTGTCGAAGCTTCCTGACCAGCTCGAGCTCAGAAAGCTTTGACATATGTGGCAGTTGCACCATGGCCGGAGCCTGATGATGAAGATCAGCAACGAAAACAAAGAAAACAAGGATGCGAAGGAAAAGAAGACCAAGGACAAGGTGCTGCTCATGGACTCCAAAGTAGTCATATTTTGGGAGAGAGAGAGAGAGAGAGAGAGAGAGAGAGAGAGAGAGAGAGAGAGAGAGGCAGGTGGAGAGGAAATGAGTAAGGAAGGGAGCTAAGGAGGGGGTGTTTATATATTGGAAAATATTTGAGTAGGGCAAAAGTTGGGGTGTGTGTTTGTTTTTTTCATTTGAGTGTGTTGTGACAAAATGACAGGCGCGCACATGAGGGAAAAACGGCATGTGAAACGCGTGCGCAAAATAACAACTGGGGCTCGAGGCTCGGACGTCATGATCATAGTCACTCGTTTAATATTCCACGTGGTTGTATATTTCTTATTATTTGTTTCTCGGCTGTGCATGCGTTACAGGCTTTACAGTTTACACAGCGCTGTCTTTGCGTCGACAAAATGTCGGCTTATGTGTCTGATGGCCGACTTTAAGATTAAAACCTTGGCACGAGGTTTTCTTCAGTTAGGTAACTGAACGGAAAATATCGGGAAGATAAGAAAAAAAATTCCGAATAAAATTTTTATTGAAAATCTATAGTTTTCAAAACGTTTTTTTTTTTTTTTTTTTTTTTATACGAAGAACTAAAATTCCTTGGTTATAAAATTGCCTCAAGCTGCACAAGGATTCAAACATCATGAACAATCAACAGCTACAATCAAGAAACAGCAGACCAAATTAAACCCAAATTGAAAATCGAAAACCGTACTTTGATTTTAAAATCCCTAAATCGAAAATCTAATTTAGTTCATTATAAAAAAATAAAAATAAAAATAAAAAAAGACAAAATAATTGCGAGTCAGGGTGAAATTTCTTACCTTCTAGGCTTGTATGTGAGCGAATGGTGGAAGTTCCAGTAGGAATTCGGAGTTGAAAGATGTATTTGGTGGGGTGTCGCCAATTTAATGACATCAGATGACACTATACTCGAACAATCTCTGAAACTCAAATTCAAGGCAAGCAATAACGAAGCATAATATGAAGCACTCCTAGCACGACTCAGGGTAGCAGAAGAACTCTAGGTAAAGGAACTGTCAATTCACTGTGACTCAATGCTCATAGTTAACCAAGTTACAGGAGACCACGTGGTTCACCATCCCACGATGGGACTCTACCCAAATAAAGTCAAGAAGCTACTCAAGAAATTCCAGAAGTATGAAATCACACAGATCCCAAGATAAGAAAATAGCCATGCCAACGCACTGACAAACATAGCTTCAATTATCGACTATTCCTTCCGGTGAACGATCCATTTTGAGTACCTCACTGTTCCAAGCACTCACAAGCCAGAGCTGGAAGTAATAGTCGTCATTGACACCCGAGAAAATTGGATGGACAATATCATTGACTACATACAAGACAGAAAATCACCAGAAGATTGCAACTTCGCCATAAAATTATTCCAAAAGGCGTCGAGGTACATGGTCAACTGTGGGATGCTGTACTGACACTCCTATTCCGGACTCCACCCCTTATCTGTCACTCTAAATCTAGGCCTATAGATCTTAAGTGACATTCATTCCAGAGTATGTGGAAATCATGCAGGAAGAAGGTCGTTGGCCCAGAAAGCATTAACTGCTAGATATTACTGACCCACTATGCGACAAGACGCCACTATCCGTGCCCAAAGATGCGACAAATGTCGAAGGTATGCGCCTATAAACCATTAACATGCAAAAGAGCTTAATACTTTGACAGGATTATGGCTTTTATACAATTGGGCATTGACTTAGCTGGGCCCCTTAACAAGGCTCAAGGAAGCAGGGAGTACCTGATAGTGGCCATGGATTACTTCTCAAAATGGATAAAGGCAGAATTGCTGACTAGAATCACCAGAGTCATTGTAAAGTTTGTTGTTTGGAAAAACATCATTTGCCGATTTGGCATCCACATACAATACTCATTGACAACAGACTATAGTTCGCCAACTCCGAAGTCATAGATTGATACAAAAACTGAGAATCGGTCACCTCAATTCCACTTCGAGATATCCACAAAGTAATGGGCAAACAAAAGCTTCGAAAAAGGCTATTTTGAAGTGTTTGAGGAAGAGGCTTGAAAAGAAAAGTAAGTAGCTTGAAGAGCTATCTGGAGTTTTATGGGCATATTGCACAAAAAATTCGGAAAGGTACAAGGGAAACACCGTTATCCATGGCTTAAAGGATAGAAGCTGTCATCCCGATCCAAGTCACGACAATTTTAAACCTGCACGCTGCAAAGCGAACCGCCTTAGAAAACGCGAGAATCCTCAAGTCCAATCTAGACTTTGCAGAAGAACGTCGGGAATGTACTTAAGTCTGACTAGCAACTTACCAGCAGCAAGTCCGGTCATATTACAACAAAAGCGTAAAGCCTAATAGCTTGCAAGTTGGGGACTTGGTCTTAAGAGAAGTGTTGATGCACAAAATAGGCGAGGACTTTGGTATAACAGAAAGTGTCAAGTTTGTGACCTTCGCTAGATTGCTCTGGTCATTAGTGTGGATAAGTATGTAAATGAATAGAGATAGGGAAGCAAACAACATAAGATGTATGTGGTTCACCCAGATTGGCTACGTCCATGGAGTAGAGAAGTTCTCATTAGTTGTGAAGGGTTTACACAAATACATAGGTTCAAGCTCTTTTTTAGTGAGTTCTAGTGAATAGTTTAGTACAAATGACATTAAGGGTTATTGTGGGAGAATGATCCCCTTTTATAGAAGAGAGTTTCTAGCTTTGTTCTGACATTGACACGTGTCGTGTTGTGATTGGCCTCTGATATCGACACGTGTTGCGCTGTGATTGGCCTCTGATACCGACATGTGTCGCGTTGTAATTGGCCTCTTGGTTGGAGGAAAAGTCTTGTGGGTCCTTAACGGTATACTATTGACCGGTGCTTAGTAGTTTCAGGATTGGTCAAGTATGGTACAAACAGTGCTCCCCTAAGTTCCCGAGTAAAGGAAGCTCCTTGGTTGAGGACTTGCAAGATCCAAGCCATTGGGTAATCACGAAACTTCCAAGTACCAAAGTGTGGTGTCACCTTCACTTGCCTTCTCTGTCCTGTAAGTAGATGTGCCATCTTCTCTTGGAAGTACTTTTCCTTCATCCAGGAGTGGTATCTTTAGTTGGCGTTGACGCACAAGGTAATGTATCATTTTCATTTGAAGCTTACTTGCAGTTTCAGGTTTGGTCAAGTGCGATACAAACCATATAGTAAGAGTCCCCCAAGTCTCTAAGTGAGGAGATATGCCGAAGGAGGTGACAGACAAGGTAAGCAATCAAGGTTCCAAGCAATCAGTCTCAGATCGGTAGGTTCATCTTGGGTTCCGGCTGATTGTACTCATTCTCCCTGTCTCTCATTCAGCAACAAGGATAAAGAGAAGAAATAGGGAGAAGAGATGATATGAGGTATTCTTGTTTTTGGAGAAGACGGACGAATCGGCATGTGTTTTGTTGTACTTGACTTTCCACAAGTGTATTCTTGAACTGGGCTGGAGGGTTTCCTGGTTTCCTCCAAAGAAGCGAGCTAACTCTAGAATTTGAGGGTCAAAACAAGTCCGTCAAACCTGGAGTATGTTCGATCCTGATGATATGGGATACTTTTGCTGTTTGACAAAGTAGTAGATGTGGTATGGCGAAGCTTTGTTCTTCGACAATGGTGTTAGCAAAAGGCTGTTAAGGCTTCTCGATCTCTTTAATTAGAATAATGATGCCGAGCTTGGATTTGACTTAGACTCTTCTGTCTGGATTGTGCGGTTTCACAAGAAGGGCGTCGTGCTGTAGTGATTTGTTCTAGTTCGCCGTTGAACCTTCTGCTTCAATCTTTTGTATAGCAGAAATGGTGCACAACCTTTGCATTTAAATGGTCCTTCAGAGCACCACTTCTCAGTGACTCCTCCATGCTTGGCAGCTTCAGAGTAAAGAGCCAATATCGTACTAACTGTTTTGAGGTATTTGCCGAAAGAATTCGTGACCTTGACAACAGTTGAGGATGAGTACTCGAGAGCAATACTCAGGTTCCAACTGATTGCATTCTTTATCCTTGTCCTGCAGGTAAGAGCAAGGGCAAAGGAAAAGACAGGGAAAAATCATGACATGGGATACTCTTACTTTCAACCCTGATGATATGAAATATTCTTGCTCTAATGTGGCTGGTTGGCATGGGTATTGTCGAGGGAGAAGAAGATGGAGTATTCCGAGAGGCTAGATTGGGAGTGCCATTTCGGATGTGAGGAAGGGTTGAGCATTTTATTTTATTTTATTTGGCAGGTCTGCCTGGCTGTGAAGGATGGAGGTTAACATATATAGGAATTGTCCCAACAGCGAGTAGTAATGTTGTTCCTTTACCCTTCTCGGTCAGAGCAATGTAGTGGTCGCTGCAAGGTTCACGTGTTTTAACTTTGTCAGAGCACTTTGAAAAGGTGGTCTGCGGTATCCAGAAAGCTGATGTTGCGTGTGAGGATTATGGACAAATTTTATCCAATGAAACCCGACTTCTCGAAGTTCGAGGAGCGGTGCCTCTTCGATTTCTGAGCAGGCAATCTTGTTGGGGATATGGTTCTCGAGATTCGAAGAGCGGTGCCTCTTCGATTTCTAGGCAAGCAATCTTGTTGGGAGTGTTTTCTCAGATGTGAAGAAAGGTTGGGCATTTTTGCAAGTCTGCTTTGCCTCGGAGCACAGAGGTTGACACACATAAGGATTTTCCAATAATCAAGCAGTGGTGATGTTCCTTTATCCTTGTGGGTAATAGTAGGGTAACTGGGCCTTCAACATTTACTTGTCTTAAATTTGTCAGAGTTCTTTGGCAAAGTTGTCCTTGGTATCCGAGGAACTGATGTTGCGTGTGAAGATTGCTAATAAATTTTAACTCAGGAAATCTGCTTCTCGAAATTTGGAGAGTGATGCCTCTTCGATTTTTGAACAAGTAGCCCTATTGAAGATCTGGCTCTTTCTTTTATAGGAGCACCAATTAAGTTCAAAGAGTCTGTTCTGAAAGTTATTGCTTGTAGGAAGTTTTCCCTTATTTTCGTACTTCTGAGACTTACTATACCTAATTTTTTCTTCATCTTTTCTGAGAATGTCTGGCCCGTCTGACCGTCGTTTGGACTTAAATGTT